ATGACTGTTGTTGGTGCCCTTAAAACACATGAATCAATACGAAAAAGTTAAGGTATTTTGAATGTCTGGAAGGAAGCAAAGAGAAAGGAGTTTGTAATGCCTATTCCCAGACAGGGAGGAATCAATCAGAAATGTAAAATTCCTGTCCTGGTGACCATAATCTCAAGTACATTTCGGTTTCAATTACTGTCATCTATTTACATTGTTGAACTATTTATTTCATTAGTATACAGGTAAGGTATTTTTGCACAGTTTAATTTCTCCACAGTAATAAGCTAACATCCTAGGAGTTTACATCTTTTACAAATATACAAACATTCTGCTTAAAAGGAAATGGAATAAAACAACATCAGAGGACATTCTAGACTTTAAAGCCCAAATATTTACATAGGATCTCTTCTCTACTCATGTTGCATCCTTCTCTCAGAATATTTACAAACTTCAAATTATAATTTGCAATAAACCCCCAAAGCACTAGATTTGCTGTAAACTCACCCCAGTATAGCAAACCACCACAGCTTATATTTGACACTGGAAAAAACAACTCCAATGACACTGGATAGAAGGATTTAAAGAATTTTGAATATCAAATCTACTCATATTAGGAGCTGCAGCTGAGAGAACATCTCATCTTCTCAGCATTAGAAAAAAGCAGATTGAACCCCACCATGATATACAAATCCAACTCAATTTGCAGCTGTGTTCAGTTCATACCCACTGCTGTGCACCAGCACAAGTCAGACATGCAGAAGTCAGAGCTACACATCTGCTTTTCAAATATCCAAAGCTGTACTTCAAGAAGCTAATAGTTCAGTAAAAACAAGAGTGACTTTTTACAGGGCAACTAACCGCCAGTACTCCTGGTAAGAACAGGATCCTAAAGCTCATCTGATCTAGAGAAGGATTTATCATTTTATTAGGAAAAGACAAGATATTGGTGGATCTTATCTAAAGGTGGCATAAAAGCACAGATTTCAACCTTCAGTCAGGGAGGGATGACAGAAGTGACTGCCTCTCCTCCAGGATTTGCTATATGGTGAGTGAAGTAAAATGGAGCAGTAGAAGTTGTGTTCAAGCCAAGAAAAGAAAAGGGAAAAAGGATGCTGGTGTGATGGCTGATCCAAGGAAAAACTCCAACCAGCTGAAGCATTTATGAAATAAAATGTAGTTCTCTCCTTAACATCAGTTGCTCAGAAACTAAAACATGACCAGAGTAGCAGAAGGACCAAACTTCTTTAAATGCACTCTTCAAACTGATGCATAATTAGGAGGCAGGGCCTCATGTCCTTGCATCACTGTACACACATTTGCAGGATTCTGCTTGCATGAAAGTCACTCCACCAAAGTCAATTTACTAAACTAAAAAGCCAACAATCAAAGTAACCCAAACAAATTACAGGGCTATTGAATGCATTTGCATGTAAGTAAAGTAAGACATACAGAAGCTACCAAGTAGAAAATATTTAATAATTTTCCTAAAACTTATTTTAAAATATCTCCTCTTTCTCCCCAAACAAGCAGTACATTAATAATTTTTGTTGCACATGTTCCTCTCTCCACATAGTTAGAAATTGTTTTCTTCCTTTTTAACTCCAAAGATCTCTATGAATTTCAGATGCATTTTCATGGCTTTTTGCTAACATGGGTGACCACCAGAATAACATTAACAGGTTGCCTTTGAAAACATTTGCTGTACTTCATTTTGCTGACAGTATTTGTGATGTCATTTACTCCGGAACAGATAGTAGCTCAGATTTCTCAAGTTTTCAGAGTTACTTGTTAACACAATATGGAGGCTGCTTTGACTGTTTTGGCTTTTTTTAAAAAAAAAGCTAGAGCTGGCTTTTCATCTATTTTTAGAAGTTTAGTAGAGAATACTTTCTGAATTTAAATAAAATTGGTAAGGCATCTGTAGCAGAATAAGCTACAATTGCTAGCATAACGCGATCAATTTACCAGTATTTATAATCTCACATAAAACTTAGCATCTCAAAATTAAACCACTAGGCCATAAAATCCCAGAGCCAGAAGAGGTCAGAAGAGTGAACAAAATTAAAATGTCATTTAGTCACTTTTCCATGCAAGGACTAAGATCCCCATGGAATAAGGGCCATAACAAGACCAATCAGTTGCCAAGTTACAGTTCTCCAAGGGCCTCACCACTCTTCAGAAAAGAGGCCACATTTCTGAAGGCAAATATGGTGGGAGACATTCTCCCAGGGTTTTGAGAAATCATTTTTCAATAGAAAGAAAACAGACTGATTTCCTCTTAAGCATTTTCAAGAATATATTATTTTGATTGTAGAGTTTTCAGCTTCAGGCCAAAGAGCATTCCTAAACACACATTTCACATGTCATCAGAAGCTCTACAAGATCAGGTTTGACCTTGACCTTCCCAACAACACTCTCCCTTGAAATGAATTATTCAACTTAGGGCACAAAATTTTCTGAGAAAACAGAAAGAACTACCCACATTCTCTCTCCACATCACATACAGTTTGAGATTCTGCATTTTGCTTACAATTGTGCACAGATGTATGTGTGGGTAGAAACCCTTCTCTAAAGTCAGCAGGCTACCTCAGTATGTACTGCACACTGGAAACACTATTTTGGATGATGCCTGTTTCCAAGGACAGCTATTCTATTCATTAATCGGTACAACTTATGTTGCATTAAGCCATAAACATTCTAGCTAATTCAATATGGTAGGGGGAAAAAAAAAGGCACAAAACTGCATATTAAAATAAAAGAGGTTTTCAATTCTTACTCTTTTAAAATGAAAATATGAATGGAGGTTGTTTTGTCTATTTGCATCCAGGTTTCCCCCTCTATTCCTTGGCTGAGGCTCTGAACCTCTCCTATCACCTTCCACTCCATCAGAGAGCAGAGAAATTATGAAGGCCCTGTAAGGTGAAGGCCACATATAGAAAACCTGAATAAATGGAGCATATATTTTTGTCTTTAAATAAATCAGTCTCTCAGAAGTTAAGTGTACCAATTATGTGGCTAACATTAGGGCAACAAATTTTTCCTTGCCCTCCTATTGCCATATGCCTGTCATTTTTTTTCCTGCATTTTCCACTCACTGTTTCAAACATATGTTGCCACTTATATGCCAAGAAAGGAATCTCTGAATTACCCCCTTCAAGTATGATGGAATGGCAGACTGAATGGAGCCAGAGAGAGCACCATTAGCAGTTGTTCACACTTCTGTTTTCTCTTAACTTCCTCTTCTCCAAAGTTTATTCCTCCTATGCAAGGGGACTTAGAACTATAAAGCCATCTATGACTCATGCTGCAAAATATAAAGCTGCAGCCATGTACTGGAGAAGCAATGTTTTACCTTTTTATTTTTTTTTTTTTTAAGGCCACCTTAAGCAAAACTTATTCTCCTTTCAGTTTCCAGATGGAAGATTCCTTTGTGAATCGCTTACCCAAGTGTTAACATGGGTGATCCAGCATTCTTTTCTTGTAAACTCACTGCTCAGTTTACCAGTGGTTTGCTGTGTCTCTCCCTGCAACTCCTGCTTCCCAGGGTCAGCTTGGGCACACACATCACACTTCCAGAGTAGTGCACCTCAAAGAACATCTGTAACACTGTGCATGCCCTTGCTTTTGTCATCAAGAGAAGACCATGAAAAGCTAAAATCATGCAGATAATTCTTCAGAAAGGTGGGCAGAAAAAAGAGTAAAAGATGAATAGAAGGGGGAAAAATGGCTGTTATCCACTAAAAGAGAAGTGAGCAGTTACTTTGGTATCATTAAATAGAAGTAATTAGTCCACTGAGAAATATTTTTTTAAACAGGTTTAAAATAACCAAGTGTCTCCCAAAGGAGGCACCCAATGACAAACAGCACAAAGGTAGATATGTTGGCCAGCTTCAAGAGAAGTTTCATGGCATAAAAAGTATTAGTAAACTAAATTGAAGTAAAATAAAACATTATTTTCTTCTCCGGTGCTCTTGCCCTGATTATCAGCATCACCATCACTACATGACAATACTTGATCTTTTCTTTTTCTGGTTTTGTTTTCCATTTCTTTGGTTTGTTGATTTCAGGCTTTTGGGTTGTTTTTTTCTCTTGTTTGGTTGGAGTTTTTTGACTGTTGGTTTGTTTTTAATGTGAGAAGATGCAGACAGAGGTTTCCAAAGAAAAAAAAGGAAATGATGTAGTCAATGTCAGAAAATTTCCTAAATATTTCTTGCATAACAGAGACTAAAGAATAACCTTTTATCTTCCACTTAAATTCTCCAGAACGTAATGAAACCAACAGAGATGCACAGCCTGAAACCTGGCATTTTCTTAATTTTGCAAAGCCACTGTTAATTACTTAAAGAAATGGGTTTACTTAAAATTTAATTACTTAAAGAAATGCTAAGAATGGGAACTATCCAGCACATCTTACTTTTATTTACAGTTTTGTTATTGAGTGACTCTTTTTGCACATACTGGGTTATTTTTACCTGATTTTTAAACCTAATTTTCATCCCAGGTATTGATGTTTGTTACTTCCAAGGTGCCCCATGACACTGACTGCAATTCATGTAGAACAATGCTTTTCCTTACATTTCTGAGTAGTATTCAGGATTAATTCAGAGAAGCCAAAAAGCAGAAAGGTCATGTGGCAAGCTTCACTGTCAAAAAGAGAAATCCTACAGGCTGATGCTTCCCTTCCAAAACCTGGAAGGTGTTTGTGGTAGTGTTTTCCTTAACACATCAATCACATGTATATTTAGCTCTCCCAATTAACTAGTAATTGTTTGTGCCAGTGTCTGCTCCACCACTGGCATAAATATCACTGGGAGACTGAAACAGAAAAATGCCTACATGAATAACTATCAGGGAGAAAATGTCACACAGGCTCATCCCCCCCACCCAACCTTCCCCTCTTCACTTTTCTAAACAGAAGTAATAATAAGTAAAAGGAAAGCAAGCTGATAGGAAAGCAAGAGCTAAACATCACCTATTGCTCATCCAATGGAGAACAGCTGAAACTTGCATTCATAAAAAATTTGCATATTAGCTTTATTAAGTCTACTGAGAGCTCATCCACATTCTGTCCTGGGTATGCATTTCCAAAAAGCATAAAGAAGTACACTGTCTGCTGTGACTGGACAAAAATACAAGGAAGTTTTAAATTCTGCTGTACATGCCTTGCCTTTCACTTGAGGATCTTCTGTACTACGCACACTTCTGTCCCAGTGGTCCTTGAAGGATCAAGGAGAATATTTTGAGGCCAACACTTCCAAAATCAGTATCTTGTTTCAAGACTTTTATGGGAGCACTGTCCATCTGAAACTGATGAGGTGAAGAACTGGTGGGACTCTGTGAAGTGACCAAATGAAATTTTTTATTTCTAAGGATATGTTGGGACAATAACAAAAAGAACTTGTCAACAAGTTCCCACTATTCAACAACTATACCTTAAAAGCAAAGTCAATATTGATGGATTACTCATACTGGAGCCTAATTTAATCTGGGAATGGCACAAGAGGGAAGAGAGGAACAAAACCCACAGCCTTGGGTTCACTCAGCATTTTCCCTGAAAAACGCCTTCCGGACACATACCCAAAGGCTGACTAGCAGCTTTAATTTGAAAATTCAGTGCAATTTTACCCTGAAGCCGCATATAAAAACTGCATTAAGACAACACAGGCAATCACATGTAGATCATCATAACATAAAGCTCAGATTTTCTGTGGGGGTTTTGGTTTTTTTGGGTTTTTTTAATGTGGTCTCATTTCTCACAGAGTAAGGAGTTATCTGTTCATTTAATTTATTTAATGAGGTTTATGAAATCCAAGTTCATTAAAACTAGACTGAGATCACAAAAAATACCACGACAATCAATAAAAGACCAAACTTTGGTATCACTTTCATGTAGCTTTAGAATTATAAGCTCTATATTATACCTTACACAAAAAAATGTCTTATTAAAAACCAGATCACTTATGAACTGGACCAATTAAAATCACCAGACATATTTTGCACATATGGTCCTTAACAAGTGAATAACTCTAAAAAGGGTTTAAATTAGCTTAGAAAGACAAATTTAATATTTCATAACCAAAAAATTTTATTTACGGTATTTTTAAGTGGATCATTTTCCAATAAATTAAAACCACAAACTGGTGGAAATGGGTCTATCTCCTTTGAATTCATTAACAACAGGAATTACTCCACATGAAAATTCAGCAAATCAGTCTATAAATACATTCATAAAACTCTTGCAGTTCTTTTTGTTTGTTTCAATACATTTAAGTGCATTTACAGAGAGATGATGAACTCATTAAACCAATTTAAAAACCTTATTTTCTTTAGCTACATCCTTCCCAAGTGAACCCTATCCCCAGGCTATTATTTCACTTCACAGCTGTTGACAGGATGGTTAGGAAATGGTTAATTCTGCAAGATTATGTCTACCATATGCAACTACCATTCAGCATCCCACCCTAAGGGTACAATCAACCAATAAAGGCTTTGTTCTGATTATGTAATGCATGAATTTGATATCCCACTTGAGAACTCTGTTGGATATAAAGGCAGCTATAGCCTAGTGACTTGGCAAATAAGATGATGTAATATTTCTTTGGAAGTAAGAAAACATCTGAGCATGCTCACTGTGAAGCAGAGAATTCAGAAGCCTGAGCACTTCTCAGTCTGAACCACTCAGCCACTCAAGAGCTGTGTCTTCCTTCATGGTTTGCTTCCTCTGTAGCACTTAACAAACTTTCTGACACCAAGAACTGAATCACAATTTTCTTCCAAACTAGTCATACAAAAAACCACACAGAACAACCCAATTTCATTTGAATTTACAGGTTCTCAAAAAATGGAATAAAATTCTCATCCAAATTGCATCTGTGAACAAGAAAAAAAAATTGTTTTCTTTAAGCAACTTTAAAAAATGCATAAGCCCAAAAGGCAACAGCCAGAAGAACAGATCGATGCAACTCCTAAGGGAGAAATTATATGTGGAATTCCAGCTTGTACCAATACACCCATAGCTTAAGAGTTACTGAAGTATTTGCATTCAAATGTTGCACATGAACACATTCCTTCTACATTCATTGTTCATCAAAGCAGAAGCAGTAATAGCCTATAAATGTCATAAAACCATGCACACAAACACACTTTATAAGGACTGTCACCTGATGGGGTTTTAGATATAGCAGCTTTCATAGTTCAGGTCAATGAAGAAGCGGTTTTTAAAAGAGAAGAAAAGTTTAGTGGAAGCCAAATATTCACCTGAAAAATGACACAACAAAACAATAAGGTTCTATAATCAGCTGAGCAAAATCACTGTCACTTAAGAAATTACTATGAATAGTGAGAGAGACAGAACAATGTCAGGGTCAGAAGAATGAAGATAAAAAAAGATCAAACCCGAAGCTCTACTAGAAAACAAAGTGAACATTTTTCATTCATTATGAAAGATGTGACCCTTTTCTCTGTCCTCAGTGCCATGCAACTGACAGCAACAAGTTGGCCCTATTTGAAAACACAAGATTTCTAAGTCCATGTAGAAATGCAACACCCAGGCATTTTCCTTTCTAAACTCAGATTAATGTCTAGGTGAAAAGCACACATTTGCGATTCTGTGTGGATTACTTTCCGATTCTGGACCTCTTCCCTTTCCCACTGACTTCCCTCAGAGAACAGAAGTGCAATCAATGAGCCTCCCTGCATTCCAGTACAAATGCTAAAAATACCTCTAACCATTCCTTCCCAGTCACTCCACTGGACACTGGCATCTTCACATGGTCACATGGTCCTCCCTTCACCTTCCAATAATCCACTAATGGATTCTCTTCTTCCAATATGACAAACTGGAACCTCACCTGACCAACATTAGCCTCTTTTATTGGTTTTGGCTCCTAGATGCACATAAAAAACACAGAGAGGCATAGAATAGTACATGAAGAGAATAGAAAAATACTTGTTAATAGCTGGCGCAGTAATTAAAGGAAAAAAAAAATCCCAAATGAACAATTTCACAAGGTGATTTTGTCTCTCTAGTATACTGCAGTTATGAAAAGAAACAAATTATTGATTGTATTTGCAAAATTATTCACAAACATGATTCCCTACTTCTTTTTGTATTACTTATGTTTAATGCTATTCCCTGAAGCCTGTAGAAATTCACTACCAAAATTGGGAAGCTTTGCTGTTTTAGGTAAGTACCTGAAACTAAATATTAACTAGCTGAAAGAAGTCAAAATCCATTGGAAGCATCGTTCACTGAAGTTCAGACACACCCAGAACTCCTTTGTGTAAAACAACATAAACTTTTCAGAGTGATTTCCAACAGATCTGGAGGCACTTCAGAATTCCCTCCAACTCAGACCCTGCCCTCCAGGAGCAAAGCTATGAATCCTGGTAAGGGTTTCCACAAGCCCCTGAGCCATGAGTGTTTCTGCTCCAGGGATACCTATGCCTACCACAACCACTCCAAGAACTGCAGGCATCTGTCACACTGACTGCTGAGAAAAATATACTTAGCAACATTTCTGGGCATGACTTGCTTTGATTTACATACACACAGATAGCTAAAAGTTAAGGTTCCACTTAGGTTCCCAAGCTCCAAGGTCAAAACAATTTTATAGCTCTCAAAGTGTTTATTCTTGTCAAGCTCTGTATGACCTTATGTCACTCTGGACACATCTTAGGCTTCTAGCAAAATAACTCCTCCTATTTTGGTAGTGTTGGATTCATGTACACTCCTCTTTTACTCAGCAGCAACATCAAGGACTGACTTGTTTTATGTGAGAATAAAGCAAGGACTGATTTGTTTTATGTGACATTGCCTCTGCTCATCTACTATGGAAATTTGAAATAAAAACAATTAAAATCAGAAAAATAGAGTAAAGCAGAAAAGAACTAACAAACTTCATGTGTCCCAAACTTGAATCAAACTAAGACATCATGCACAACCAGATCTGGATTTAACCAGTACAACATACATTAAGAATTCAAAAATATACTTGTTCTTTTGCAGCTTTTTAGTTCTAGGTCTCTATTTATTATAAATGGAATCAAGACATTTCTGTATAATTTTAAAAGTTAAACACAAAAAGGCTGCATAAGTACTGTCATAAGTACTGTATTACAATAACTAGAACCACTTTTCTCCTCTGTCCTTGCTACTGGCTAGAGCTATGGACAAATATTTACCTATATATATAGTTCTGTATTTATTGAAGAGGGGGCAGAGGGGTAAATAACCCAAAGATCTACAAATTTACAGTGCTTAAATCCTTGTTCTGTAGAGTCACCTAAAAGTACTAAAGTCTATGTTCTTTTGTTGAATCCATTTAAGAAATTAGCCTATTTTTTTCTTGAGTAATAGTAGTCTGCTTCTAAGATAAATTATTAGCAGTTATCAAATTTACTATGAGAATTCACAGCAGAATATGCCACTACAGACTTCACTTGCATGAAACTGTATCACTACAAGAAAGAACCCAATACATTGCTCTCTTTAATCAATTCTACACAGTTCATCCTGATCACACACTTGTAAGTGTAATTTGTATGGATTGTAACTATCTTTCATCTAATTAATATTAATCTTCATATTAGAAGCTCCTGAGTTCACTGGCCAGAGCAAATAGAGGCCAGAAATTATGCTCTATCAAAATGCTTTCAAATCAAGTTACCCAGGGGAAACAATGTTAAAAGGTACAGAAGCTTCATGCTTACAACTAAAAATAGGTAACTGATCAAAACAGGTTAAAAATAAAGTGCTCAACAACTAAAAAACCCCACAAAATAAAAAAGACTATAAAGCAGTGGGAAAGGTTGCAGGGAAGACTGTTTAAAGAACATAGGATTTTAGGGACTAGAAGAAAATTTTTCCTTTCCTTCAGGTGAAGGAAGAGAATTTCCTTAAACCACTTTTTTTGTGCCTTAGTTCAGTTTTCAAGCATGAAGCAAGCTGTAGGCTATTCAAGCTTTTAGTTCATCTCCTAAAAGACTTTCTTAGTAATAGTCCATCCTGTTGACATAACACCCGGAGACATGAGATCAATAAAAGTGTTCCCAGATAATGACACAACTTCAATATTGCCAAGATGAAAGTAATGGTTCCTAAGGCTGATACGTCTCATGCCAGCTGCCATAAAAAAGCCAAATTAATACCCTTTTGTAGTTGCTCCCCTTCCTCACTCCAGGGTTTTGTAAAATTTTTGTTGCAGACTCTGGAGCTGTGGAGTGTCTGAGTCTGCTAAATACATTTCCCCAAGCCCAAGAGACTCCTTGAACAGTACCTGCTGTGGGCAAGACTAACACAAAGAGCTACATGTGACTACACCCTAGGAGGTCAAGAAATTCTGTAAATACTTTTCCAGACCAGAGAACTGAACCGCACAACTAAGTCACATTTCTAAACTATGAATCCATCAGATAGCTCAGCAATTCTGAATCCCAAAGGGATCAAAGTTTTACGAGCTACATTACGTCCCTAGGAATCCGCAATCTAAAACAGCCCGTATAGGATACATTTGCCTCTGTGTTATTTCAACACATACTCCTTGAACAGGTACCAAAATCACCAATAACTTGAAGCACTGTGCTTGAAAGAGGAACTAACGTATAGCTACTGAAATTACACAGAATAAGAAAAGCCTTTCTGAATGTATTTCTTACCAGGAATCCTAAGGGGATTTATCAAGGCAGAAAACATGTCTGTTATTACATAAATTTTGTAACATAGATGCATAGAGGCCCAAAGAAGGGCCTCTGCACCCAAGAGCATGTTTGTATTTTTCTCTGCTAAAGCAAGCAGCCCAACAAAAAAATACTTTCTCTCCTTGCAAATTTTGCCTTCCTTAGCATCCATACTCATCGTTCTACAGCCTTACTCCCTTTTAAAAAAGCTCTTTAACAGCTCTGTTTTCACTGGGTTAATCAGTAGGAGGCAAGAGAAGCCTGTTCAACAGAATTATAACAATGACATGTAGGCTTCATGATACATTTTAATTCTGGATTATCTCTACTTAACCAAAAGAAAAAAAAGAAAAAAGAAAAAAAAAGAAAAATGGCATGACAGCTTTGTACTCCACTTTGCATAAAATCAATGGCACCAATGAGCCTTCTTCCAGCTCCAATGTTGTATTCAAGCCCACATTCACCTAAGCATGTGCCTGACAGGCTAGTGCTCCCAAAGTAGCCAGTGGCTTCAGGAGGCTCCTGTAAACCTGCAACCCACAAGAAATGCACTGAGTGCTGAATTCTTTCTACCTGTGTGCTGGGCTTTTCTCTCCAAGCCACTGGTGGAACAGCATCACCCAGAAACAAGTGCAGGAACAACAGCCGTGAAGGGAAAAGCCCAAGTGAAGAGATGGTGCATGATGTGGAGGAGCTGAAAGAGCCTGCAATAACTTGATCTATTTTTCACCTCATCTCATCAAAGCTTTGAAAGAAACATCCTCCACTGGCACCATGTTCAATTCATGGCAGTGTGAAAAACTGAGTCAACAAACCTGCGCAGTTTTTATTCAAACAAGAATTATACTGCTCTGAAAAGGAGTTGATCACTTTGAATAAAATGACTGAACCCATAGCTTAGGTTAAAACATTAAAAAGAGACAGGAGTCATGTGGACCCAGACTTGATGCTCAAAAAGTTTCAGCCATACCACTTCCCTGAAGTTCTACAAAAAGAATCTTGCTTTGACTGAATTCAAAGGCAATGGATGAAGAAATAGTGTCTATGTCTTTTATACACAGTGTCTATGTCTTTTTCTGCAGTTTAATAACTAAAGACAGATATTTAAAATATGTTCTACTTCCGAGCATGTTTACAGACATGAAGCTGAGCACCTTCCAAGGTCCTAAGTCTTCACAGAATTGCAACTCACTTTTGCTATTGCATTAATACTGAAATGGCTGTCGTGCCTCCAGAAATAGCCCAACCAGACAGGCACACTTGTGGGTGGGGGTGGGCTGATAAAAAAATCTCACTACAGAACCCATCACTAACAAAACAAACCTCCAATCCCAAACTTCTTCTTAAAATACACTCTTGTACAGAGCTTTCAAGAACTAAAGAACATTATCTAATTTTATCATGGAGAAAAGATTACTTGGCTATATATGGTTTATACAGAGTAGGGGAAGACATACAAATCAAATTCTATCCATCCTTGTTCATGGTAAATTCTGCCATGCAAAAAACTGGTTTTTTCAAAAAAAATTACCTTGGTCCCACACACAAAATGAAACCATCTCACAAGCAGATATGAAATGCTTGCAAAGTTCTCCTCAGAAGCCATTAGCAGTTGAGAGGTGCAGTCATCAACTTCCCAATACAGCACCCAACATAAAGGGATCTAATTATTCTTAACATTTGGCTAGGAATTTTATTTGTATCTGCCAAAAAAATGGGAGAATAATGGAATCTGCAAACAATAGGAGAGTTTGAAAAAATATTTCTCCCTCCTGCCAAAAAAAATTAAAACCACAGTGTAAAGGAGATACGAATCTCTTTCCACCCATGGTCCATAGTAAAAGTCACATGAATCTGAAAAATGTTATCTTTAGAACTTTCCCCTGCTTCTGCCCCTTGCCTTCCATATCAGTTTTCAGTATATTTCTGACTGTAAATAAGCCATAATAATCTCCATACTTTGCAATATTCAGAAATTAATCTATACATTAGGATATGAAACCCTAAAACACTTTACAGATGAAATCTAAGAGATCATCAAACACAATACTAGGAGAAATAATAAAGATAAATTAGAAATTTTTTGAAGGATATAATAATCTAAGAAATAATTAGAGTGAATCCTCTTTCACTCAGTAATGTCCAAACTCCCACAGATTTCAGAGACAAGGCTGAGCACACAGCGGAGAAAAATCTTTGAAGTCACATGAGTCATTAAAACATTAAATATCAGATCCCATTTATGCAAGGCAATAAAATTCAACTTGTCAATTCTGCTTATGTTTCAGTTCTCCAGGTATCACATGCAAAACTTAAGCAGACCACCTCCAAAAAAAAAGAAGAGTTTTAAGTAATGTAAAATACTAATAAAATATTTGACAGTGTTTGTACTTCAGTAGACATTTGTTTTTGGAATGTGAAAGTAACCTAAGGATTTAGACCCCAGGGAGAATTTCAAAAGCCCAAGCTTCAACAATATCTACACAAAGTAAATGTGACCAAGTGCCTGATACAGCCAAGCATTTCAATATATCATTAAAATCAGACTTCTGCTGAAATCCTTTCCTTTTTCAACAAAAATACACAGGGCTATGTTTTAAGTGCTTTGTTGAACTGAGGCCCAAGTTCTAATTTCCTTTATTTATCTTTGATATAAAATGGCCAAAAGAAGGGGTCAAATGCTGCAATAGGTTATGGGTTTAAGGACACTGGAACTGCTGCTATGAAACGCCATGGGAAGACAATGGAAAGAGAAGCAGTTCAACGATGGAAGTAATGGGAGGAATTCAAATAGTTTAAGATAAAGTCTAAACAACTGCCTCAAAGTCTTTTAGCTTATTTGTCCTATCTTCTCCTTGCCTCACATAATCTTCCATCTTCCCAGGGTCTATTTTTCTAAAGTAAAATCCTGAAAGCATGCGGGCACAAATAACAAAATGATAAGCACAGACTAGAAAAAAGTCACTGCAAGCAGCTGCAGAGAGCCCTGCATTGACAGGAGATGCCCAATGATTTAATAAGATTTTCTTCTGGTCTCCAGCTTCTACAAATCAACAGTTCCTTCTGCTGTCACAATACTTGCAAATGCACCAATTCTGCGCAAAACTATGTGTAGTAACTAAGGAAACAGAATTCATTTTCAGGGAGCAATAGAGAGTATTGCTGCCTGCCCAAAGGTTTTTTTTTTTCCCTCTTCTGTGTAGCTCACCAGTGCCACGATTCCACCTACAGATACTGAAAGAAACTGTAAAAATGCAGTAAAGGAAGGCTTCTTTGCAACTCAATTCATTGCCTCAGATAAAAATCAGCTTTTCATGTTATAGTAGTCCAGAAATTGGAATTTTTAATAATATATCCAAGCCCTTAACAGGGCTTGGGTAGTACTGTACAATGTCCTTTAAGTCATAACAATATAAGAGAAGGAAGTCAGGTCATTACACTCAGCTGATGCTCTTTGATAAAGTTGATTTGCAGAAGGTCACAGATGTGTGCTTTTGTATTGCAGAGAGGAATTAATTAAGAAACAGTGAGTTTGTATTTTGGCCATCCCCAGATGTAAACACAGACTTATAAACAGAAGGACTTGCATTCCCTATTCCCAGACTACCAATAAACTTATCACCAGCACTATTTGAGCTGTGTTCCTTGCAACTCCAGAAGAGAACTAAACTGTGAGGATAAATTTTTGATCGTTAGCTTTTGAGAAGTGCTCTCCTTCAAAGCTGCTTATGGTCAAAAGTCACTGTTTCATGTGGGAGAACAAAAATGCAGGCAGTTTTCATATAGACTACAGAAACAGGGTGTGTGCAGGTGAAGGGAAAGTTGCAGAAAAGCAAAACAATTGCAAAGATAATGGAAGGGAAAAAAGCAAACCCAGGACAAGAAACAGCAGTTGTCACCCCTAAGGATTTATATATTTATGCTTGCATACACACATACATGTAAAAAAAATGCATTCACATTCAACTCCTACCTAACCTTCCACTGAATAGCTTTCCTGGCTCCCCCTGCAAATCAGAACTGGATACAGCAGTACTGCCACAGCCTGTTCGTAGACACTACCTTGCACCTGCAGTTGTCCTGTCATATTAAACAGAGTCCCAGCAGAAAGGCTGAGTTTGTAGCTGAAGATATTTCCCATACCAAGGTCACCTAGATGAGTTTGTATTTCAAATGATCTATATTGGTGCAATGCTTTTGAGAAAAGCTAGAAAAACTGTTAGCCTCCAAAAACATTAGCCAAGGAACTGAATAGGTCAATATCAGCTAAAGGACAGGTCATTTTGCTTTTGTCTGGATTAGATTATTAACTCTCCCTGGAATAGCAAATAAAATATTATCCTGGTCTGTCCCTTGGTTTTCTATCTCCAAAACCATTTGGGAAGGGTTAGTATTAAATAATTTCAAAGTTTTCTGATGAGGCACCCAAATCTGAACTTTCTCAGAAACTTACAAAGAGGATACAGCAGGATCATCCATACAAATAAGCAGCAGAGTTCTGAGGAAGTCTTTACTCAGTAACCATGCAAGGGGTTGCCTGGAATTTTCCAACTAAAGAATAAGTACCTTTTTCACACTACACTCAGGATAAATACATGCAACATAGCTAGTATATTTCTGTCTTGTTAATGAAATGCAAACACTTTAATCACCATTTACCTTCATACTTACAGACAACACCCCCAAATAAGTAACTTCCCTTATTGTTAGCATTATGCTCAATATAACAAAATACACTAAAAGCAGGCAGAGAACAGCTTAAGCTATAGAGATGAAGACTAAAATTCAAATGCTGCAAATAAATTAATTGTGGATGCACCTACTACTTTAATAGTGCTGAATGCCTTTCCAGTGTCTAATTTACCCACCAACATAAAAGGAGTACATTTCACTGACTCCCATTATTGCTCACTGGATTTTGAATAACAAATTTTGTGCTCGTTTCCAGTATTTCTTCCTTCTGTTGTCAATGTTTATTCAGGGTGTACACTAAAGGACAGGGAATACAAGAGATACATTTTAAGTTCTTCAATCTAAATCCCACTTTTTGGCTTTCTGCCTCTTTCTTAAATATTAAAACAAACTACTCATTTCTTCAAGACCTTCTTACTAAATATAGTTGGTTGGACTGCTTAATTGTGTTAGCTGAAACACAAACATACAAAAAAGGAAAGGGGTTTGTAGAAAAAACATTGAAGAGAAAAAAAATCAGATTTCATCTGGCCTTCCCATCATCACTTAAGAGAATTGTTTTGTAGTTACATCATCAGGAAATAAAATACTATCCTCCAAGGACCCCAACTCTTTACAGAAGGAAAAAAAAAAAGGAAGGCTCAAAGTTCATATCCCCCCTCAGAGGAGTTCAGCTAAAGTCACATTTTTTGTCATGATAAAATTAAAAGAAAAAAAAAAAATAAAAGAAAACCATAAAAAGCTCCCTTAGAACAACTAATTAAACAAGATGAGTTGGAATTTAGTTTTTCCGTTTTCAAACTCCAGGCTGCGGGACTAAGTGGAAAACATTGTACCTAATCAGAAACAACCTCTAACGACTTCATTATCAGCGCTAGAGAGGAACTGCCCTAACCCAAACCTTCCGCGCATTCTTCTCGGCCCTGAGCTGGGGGACAAACTCAATGTTTCACACAGCGCTGGGCTCAGCCGGAGCCAGCACCCGGGCCCGAGCTGCCAAGGGCAAGCTGAGCTGCCCAGGGCCGAGCTGAGGGGGAGCCGGGTTAACCAAAGGGAGCCGGGGCTGCCCAGAGGGAGCCGGGGCTGCCCAGAGGGAGCCGGGGCTGCCCAGGGCCGAGCTGAGGGGAAGCCGGGTTAACCAAAGGGAGCCGGGGCTGCCCAGAGGGAGCCGAGCTGCCCAGGGGAGCCGAGCTGCCCAGGGCCGAGCCGAGCCGCCNCGCGCAGCGGCCGCACCGGCGAGCAGCGGGCAGCGCGCGGGGCTGCACCGCGCCTTATATGGCAAGGCGGTGACGTAATGGTGCATAGGCTCGGGCCGCCCGCGCGCCCATCCCTCATTGTTCCGCGGGAGCGCTGGAATGCTCGCAGCAGCCCCGATGGCACCGCGCAGCGCCCCGCAGCACCGCCTCACCCGGGATTGCTATAGCCCGCCAGCGCAAGGTAAGGGAGAGGGTGGGAAGCAAGCTTCTTCTGGAAAGCACTGGCGCTTCTGGCTTTTTCCTGTTGAGATACCTTTTTTTAAAAAAAAAAAGTCACTAAGAGGGGTGAGGACCGAAAAACAATGAAATACCCCTAAAGAGCACCAGGAGATCTAGAACATGTCTGGTGGATCCTATATAGGGTGACTATTTCAAGCGTTAAAAACTGTCTTTAAAACAATTCCTGCAGAGGCAACAGATGAGGAATTAACGTAAGGTTAAAGAAGGAAAGAGTTATGAATTACACACACTTTCCAAATGGTCGGATAAAATCATGACTGCATTTAAAGCTGTGGAAGGAGTCCAGCGGTATTGTATTATATTAGGTAGAGCTACTGCCTCTCTTTCTGCTGCATTTACATGCATATGCTAAATGTTAGTAGACATGTACACACGCATGTCTCTAAGCATTTACTGTAGTTCTGGACAACTTCTACTGTAGTTTTCAGGGTAATGTATAAATTGCCACAAACATTACTTTGCAATAAGACTGTGCTATGTCTGAAAGAATTGCAACTAGTTCGATTACTAACAAACTTTTCAACTCATACACGCTGCTTCCCTCTTCTGTGTCTTGCGTGCAAGTGTCAAATCACAAGAGGGCAGAACTGTCAAATTTTGATGAAAAAAACCTTTTAATCCTGGTCAAACACACGATGAGTGTCAGGATCAGAAAACACACTGCTCTCTTCAAGGCTTATTCTGCAAGATATTAACTCCAGAAAACAGGGAATTAAAACCAGCTCTGACGAGGCACAGAGCACCTTGAAAGATTGGAGTTCCGTGTGCTTATAATTCCCACCTGCGTAGGGTGCAAAATTACACTGTCCTCTCCGTTAATTAAGGGCCAAACCCTGGCAAATCTTTGTTCATAAGATCAGCTGCAATTAAGTCAATTGTACTGTCCTACTTGCCAATTGGAACTACGGAGCACTGCTCTTCAGAGTCCTGTGTGTAATTTGAAATGTTAGAAAAGTTAGATCTTAAGACCTTTAATTTCGAACTCTTCTTACAGGTAAAACATGTTTTTGTGGTATGTTCTCCTTTTCCTTAATACAAAAATAAATGCAATTTTAGGAGAGAAGTAAGAGTTCTTTTTCCCTTTATTTGATGTTTTAAATCCTGCAAAATCCTTGTTCAAGGAAAAATCAAAGCTGTAACTAACATATGCATTGTTGTAGTATCATGCATACACGAATTTAGAGGCTGAGCCAAAATATCTTGTGTGAACTTTTTCATAACTTTTTTTTTTTTTGCTTTAAACATGGAGTAAATATGAAGCAGTTCTTTTCAACATGCTTCTAAAAATGTAAATATAAAGAGACATTTCATTTCAAAGACAATTCAGGTATTTGTGTATTATTGACCTGGCAATTAGAAAAAAGTCACATCCATGTTTCCAACATAGTCTTTTTTGTAACAAGCGAAGTTTATATCTCCCTTGAGAGAATCAGGGAAGAAGGCACCAAATTGTGTATATATAGAATGAAAAGCATCGTAGCAACCAGAACAAATGTAATTTCACAGTACAAAAACAATACCCCATATCAGTATCCTGAGTCCCTTAAAAAGTCTTGTGCTCACCATTCTGTCATATCTGCAGAGTCCTCACAGTTTTAAAATCATTACTTAATTTTTTAAACATCCAGTGGCAAGTTATAAATTAGAAAACTTAGCTACGTTATGAAGAGATGTGTTAGGAACCAAAGTTAAATGACAGTCTTCAAAATGTGTGTCTGAGTAGGAAGGATGAGCTGAAGAAGTCAAAAAATTTCAATATGGCAAAGAAAAAATATTAACAGGAATGCTACGCATACAATAAATTTGATAAAAGCACTAAGTGGAAAAAGAAAAAAGTCTCCCCATAGGTAAGAGACAATTTCAGCTGCTCCAAATCTGACCAAGAAGGGTGTCTTCTATCACTAATTACTGCTTCAGGAGTATCTAAAGTACCATCTGTACTTGGAACTTCTAGCCTAAAACAAATCATAACATCTATCAAAAGCCAGAACTCTACTTCCCATAGTCTGTCTTCCTCAGATTAAAAGGAAAAGCATTCTTCACTTAATACTTACAGGACCAATTTTGCTCTCATTTATACTGGTAAAACTCCAAAATAATTAGATGGAGGTATAATGATTAAACTGTCTCTCTGCTGTTTTCCCTTACCACTGCCTCTGTACTACACTCCTTTATTATATCAGATTTCTTAACATATTTTGGGTATTAATTGATTGGTATTCCTAATTTTAAGTGATTAAAATGCTAGCTTCTGTTAATTAAAAGTAAAAGAAGACAGTGAAAGAAAAGAATCATCACGTAACTCAGTCTTAAACAATTGTATTTCTTCATCTAAATTTCTTTTTATAGTAATTTTTCACAACATCCAATGTAAAAATATTTTAAGAACAAATATATCCTCCAGAAATGAAAGTCAACTTCCTATCAAACTGCATTGACCCTTTGTTCCTTTCCCGTCACTTCCCTTTCCTCCACTGACAAACATCTGCTGACAGCAGAATTATTAGAGATTTGATCCACAAGACAAGGGACAGTTCAATTCTCCATCAGGATCAGTAAAATCAAATTATTTCTTCATTTGTGCTGAGCAACAGAATTTTCATACTATTTACCTAATACTATGATGAATTACCAATTTTGCACTTGTCATGGGATTAAAAAAAAAGCCTGGTTTTAATCCCAGTGAGTTTCCCCTCTGTGGCAGATCTTAATAGACTGCTGCTTTTCTTCAGGAGAAATTCTTTACCACACATAGTTTGGCATGGGCAACTGAGCAACTACAGCTCCTCTGGACCTTTCCTATAAGCAGCTGTTCTTAAATCCTGGGTGTGGTACTACCTGAATAAAGTTCATTAAAAAACCAATTAAACTACCTAAGTCAGAGAATCCTAAGGAGTTTACAATGTAGGAAGATATATCTTTAAAAATCATTGTATAAAACTGTAGTTCTCTCTCATTAATACCTTCCCTCACACCACTTTATCTTGTCACCAAGTTGATTTGAACTTAGAAATTGTCTCAGCAATAATTTTTAATTGCTTAGGGTTTGTCTTTCATGCTTAATAGATTCTGCTATGGCACCCTTAGGGTTTAGGTTGAGCTTCTTGATGCAGCTGAAAGCTTGGTTAGTTCAACCATTCACTAAACTGTATTACTCAGCTCCAAGAAGGTAAAAATCACTGCTGAAAAATTCTAAATATAGTGCCCAGTCTTGTGATTCAAGTGAAGTAATGGACACTTTGACTCTTAACACCTCGCAGTACATTATGCTGATTTTGAGGTCTGCTGTGTTTTCTGTCAGCAAGACAAAAATCCCTTTGATTGCATATCCAGTGCACCATGATGTTCCTGAAGTTCAGTAGCTGCACTCACACTGATGCACCAGTGGAGCACTCTCAGGCACTTACAGCTCACTCCTCCAGTGTTCACAATTTCTAGCAGAATGTATTTGAAGATTTTCTGAGGCAGTCTGTAGCCACCAGTTAAAAACAGTATGAAAAACACCTCCCAAAGCAATTGTTCCTCACCAGGGCTGATGTGACTGTGAAGAGGAGAATGCTCATGCAAACAGTGAATGCTGGCTGAACACCCAGCAACATCATCGTAGAACTCTCTTTTAATAGAATTATGGAAACATTGGGGGTGAAAGTTCAACCCAACCTTGCTATGCAACATTTCCACACAACTCAAAACTATAACCTTTGTCATTCAAGCTGATAAATGCATGCCCTTTTTGCCTGTTGCAGAAGTGACACCTGCTGCAGCTCATGGTGCACATTACGGTGAGGTAACACAGCTGCTTGACTTCAGCCTCAGGCTGGGCAGGTGACACCAGAGTGGCTGCTGAGGCAAAGCAGCAGAACTTGAACCATTCTGCTTCCTGCATAAAGAAGCTGAGAAACCAAAGCCCAAAACCACCTAGCTGTTCATGTCCAAACTTCCCTAAGCCTTACAGGTGTATGTCAGGTAGGGTACACAAAGCTCTAGTGAACACGACTGAAAACACGGATGGGAAAAAATCCACTCTTGACAAGAGAAACACTCATCTTGCATACATGTCAGGGATGTGAAACAATACATCAGACTTCATTATCCTTCATAGATTTCCAAAGGCCTGGGAAGGAACACAGCTGCACTTAAAGGATGGATAGAGCTCTTAAAATCTGCCTTAAACCTAATATTCAAAGCATTTTCTTTCAAATTCACTGCAGACAGCTGATTTAAAACTTTGGGTTTTTTTATGAGAAACACAAAGCTTATCTAGTGTTTGCATAGCAACTATCACAACGACAGAGTAAGAGAATGAAGAAAATTTTTAAAAACTGAAATGAAGCCGCATGATGCTACTGCCATAAAAAAACCACATAAAACCGGCTGCTTAAAAATAGAAAGTAATGCACTCATAAAGCTCATATGTTAATTACACGTTGGACAAAATGTCCAACAAATTAACAAAATTAACACATGTGTTAAATACACATGGACAAAACTACCTAAGAGTTAAGTTTAAGCTGACTGAATTCTGTGAGCTTTCAATGGATTTAATCTTTTTTTGGTGCAGCTTTCAGTATTAAGTCTAATTATGAAGAAAATTAAGAAATTTTATCACATGTAAGTTTGGCCTACCTGAAACTAACATCACCCATCAC